TTTGTGTCCCTGTTAAGATTTTCTCCCAAGCATTTTCTTTTTGTTGGTAGCTATTATAAATGATACTGATTTCCTTATTTCCTTTTCAGCAATCTCTTTGCTGGTGTATAGGAATCCAACTGATTTTTGTGTGTTGATCTTGTATCCTGCCACTGTGCTAAATCTCTCAATTATTTCCAGTAGTTTTTTTGCTGAGTCTCTTGGGTTTTCTATGTATAGGATCATATCATCAGCAAATAGGGATAGTTTGACTTCTTCATTACCTGTTTGGATATCTTTGATTTTCCTTTCTTGCCTTATTGTCCTGGCTAGGACTTCCAATACAATGTTGAATAGAAGTGGTGATAGAGACCATCCTGTGAATTTGAATTTTGTCAAATGCCTTTTCTGCATCAGTTGAGAGGGTCATGTGCTTCTTTTCCTTTGTTTTATTTATGTGATGGATGATGTTGATTGTTTTTCTAATGTTGAACCATCTTGCATACCTGCTGTGAACCCCACTTGGTCTTAATGTATTACTTTTTTGATATGTTGGAGTTTATTGGCTAGAATTTTGTTGAAGATTTTTGCATCTATATTAGTGAGAGATAGTTGTCTATAGTTTTCCTTTTTAGTGATGTCTTTGCCTGGTTTTGGTATCAAAGTTATGCTTGCTTCATGAAATGAATTTGGAAGGATTCCATCCTTTTCTGTGGTTTGGAGTAGTTTGAATAGGATTGGTGTCAGTTCTTCTCTGAACATTCAGTAGAATTTGCCACTGAAACCAGCTGGGCCAAGGATTTTTTTTGTTGGTATTTTTTTTATGACCTGTTCAAATTCTTCTTTTGTTATGGGTCTATTTAAATTTTCCACCTCAGCCTCTGTTTGTTTAGGTGAGTAATATGCTTCTAGAAATCTGTCCATTTCTTCTAGATTTTTTATTTTGTTGGAGTAGAGTTCATCATGTTGTTGTTGTTTGCCGTCGAGTCACCCCCTACTCATAGCGACCCCTCCTTGGGTTTCCGAGGCAGTATCACTACGGAAGTAGGATTGCCCAACCTTCCTTCCGAGGAGTGGCTGGTGGGTTTGAACCGCCAGCCTTCTGGTTAGCAGTCAAGTGCCTTAGGCACTATGCTACCAGAGCTCCTAGAGTTCGTCATAGTATCCTGATATTATCCTTTTAATTTCTGTTGGTTCTGTTGTATTGTCACCCAATTCATTTCTTATTTGTGTTATTTGTATTCTCTCCCTCTTTTCCTTTGTTAAATTTGCCAGTGGTATGTCAGTTTTATTAATCTTTGCAGAGAACCAACTTCTTTCTAGTCTTGTTGATTTTTTTTCTATTGTCTATTTTCTGTTTCATTTATTTCTGCTTGAATCTTTATTATTTCTTTTCTTCTGGTGACTATAGGCTTTTGCTGCTCTTTTTCTAATTGTTGGAGATATTGGGTTAAGGTTTTGACTTTGGCTCTTTATTCTTTTTTTGATGTGTTCATTTATTACTATAAATTGGCCTCTGATCACTGATTTGCTATGTCCCAAAGATTTTGGTATGTTGTGTTTTCATTCTCATTTGACTCAAGGAATTTTTTTATTTCTTCTATTACCCAGTCGTTTTCCAGGAGGGTATTATTCAGTTTTCATGTGTTTGCTCTTTTTCTGTTCATCTTCCTAATGTTGATTTCTAATTTTACAGCATTGTGTTCTGAGAAGATGTTTTGCAGTGTTTCAGGGTTTTTAAATATATTGAGGCTTCCTTTGTGCCCTAACATATGGTCTATCCTGGAGAATGTTCCATGTGCGCTGGAAAAGAATGTATATTGTGCTGTTGTTGGGTGAAGTGCTCTGTAGATGTCTAAAAGGTCAAGTTGGTGGATTGTATTGTTTAGTTCTTCTGCATCTTTGTTGAGTTTCTTTCCAGTTGTTCTATCTGTGATTGAAAGTCGTGCATTAAATTCTCCTACTATGACTATGGAGTCATCTGTTTGTCTTTTCATTTCTGTTAGAGCCTGGTTTGTGTATTTTGGGGCTCTTTCATTGGATACATATGTATTTATTACTGCTATGTCCTCTTGTTCAATTGATCCTTTAAGCATTATATAATGTCCTTCCTTGTCTCTTATGGTGGTTTGTGGCTTAAAGTCAAATTTTATCAGAAATTAATATTGCCACTCCTGTTCTTTTATGGTTGCCATTTTTTCCAACCTTTGATTTTTAGTCTATTTTTGTCTTTGTCTCTAAGGTGTGTCTCTTGTAGATAGAATATTGATGGGTTGTGTTTTCTTATCCAGTCTGCAGCTCTCCATCTCTTCAGTGGTGCATTTAGTCCATTGAAATTCAGTGTAATTATAGACAAGTGTGAATTTGTTGCTGTCATTTTGATATGTGTTTTTTCATGGTGTTACTTAATTTCTTTGTTCCATATAGTTTTCTGTGCTGAGCTAGTTTTGTTTTGGAATCGTGTTATCACTTCCTTTATTGCTGTTGTTTCAGTATTTGCTAAATATTTGTGCTGGTCCTCTTTTTTATTTCAATGTGAAAGTTTATCATTTTTCTTTGAGGTTACCCTGTGATTTGTAGTTTTCTTCCTAAGTTTAGAACTGTCCATTCTACCTTGCAGTTGTCTTGACTTTTCTAGCATTTAGAAGTTCTATAACTATATAGTTTTTTCCCTCTTTTTAGTTTGTAGTTGTCCTCATTTATCAATTGATGTCTCTGGTTCCCTGTTTACAATCTTGTAGGCTTATTTACCTTGGATACTTCCATAACTGGGTTGGTTATGTCATCATGTGTGTTAATAGTCACTTGTTGTTGTCAGTTTTTGTTGCTTCTCTATCCAAAAGACTCACTTTAGCATGTCTTGTAAGGTTGGTCTGGCTTTAACAAATTCCCTTAATTTCTGCTTATCTGGAAATGTCCTAATTTCATCATATTTGAGGGACAGTTTTACTGGGTATATCATTCTTGGTTGGAATTTTTTTTCTTTCAGGGTTTTATATATACTATCCCATTATCTTCTCACTTACATAGTTTCTGCTGAGATATCATCCGAGCTTGGTGTTATTGGTTGCCCCTTGTGTATAACTTTTCATTTTTCCCATTCTGCTTTTTGGATTCTTTCATTGTCTTTGATTTTGGTGAGTTTGATGATGATATGTCTTGGTGATTTTCTTTTGGGGTCTATCCTGTTTGAGTTTGTTGGACTTCCTGAATGGATATATTCTCATCTTTCATCATACCAGGGAAATTCTCTTCCAACAAATCTTTGACAATTTTCAATGGTTTTCTTTTGTTGAATGTGTTTGAATAATTAGATACATATTCTTGTCAAAGGAGAAGAATCATATTTACTTATTTGTTACAGTCCAATAATACAATTTATTGTTACCTACCTAGGTCCCTTTTTATGTGTGATTTGGGTGAAAGTTTACAGAGCAAATTTGTTTTCCGTTCAACAGTTCATACACATCTTGTTTCATGACATTGATTGCAGTCTCCATAATGTAACAGCTCTCTTCCTACTTCCTCCATATGGTTACTTTTTTCCTGTGTCCTTCTTTCTGATGCAGTCCTGCTCTCTGAGATATCTCCCTGTGCAAATACTGCCCTTTTGATCTCCCATGGTTGATTGTCCTAAAGAATATACCTATCTGGTATAACTGTTCACCTTGTCTATTGTTTGGCTAGAAGCTACGGGAGTGAGTTCAATTCCAGTCCTGAAGGGTGACTAGGAGCCATAGTCTCAGGGGTTTTACCAGTCTCTCTAAGACCAGTAAGCCTGGTCTTTTTTATGATTTTGAGTTTTGTTGCACATTTTTCTCCCACTCTGTCCAAGATCCAAAGGAAGAATCATATTTAAAGTAAAGAATAAACAATGAACTATTGGAGAATGAAATTTTTTGTTGATTTGATTTTTTCCAATTTAGTTATAACTTTAAAATGGCTTCTCTCTGCATTTCAAAATTATTGGTGTTGTGTGCCTAGTAAGTAGAGGTGTAACACTACATAGTCTCATTAAACTAACCCTTACCTTCCATTTTATATAAAGTTTCTTGCCTTTTAGGTATTCAGTGACCCAAGCCATAGTCTTTGCAATTGTCTTATATGCATGTGAAAGCTCGACAATAAAAAAAAGAAGACAGAAGAATTGATGCGTTTGAATTGTGGTCTTGACAAAGATTATTGAAATGCTATGGATTGCCAAAAGAATGAACAAATCAGTCCTAGAAGAAATACAACCAGAATGCTCCTTAGAAGCAAAGATGGCAAGACTTTAATCACTTACTTTGAACACTTCATCAAGAAAGACCAGTGACTAGAAAAGGATATCATGTTTGATAAAGTGGAGCGTCAGTGAAAATGAGGGAATCAATGAGATGGATTAACACAATAGCCGTAACAATAGATTCAAACATACCAAAGACTATCAGGATGGCACAGGACTGGGCAATGTTTCTTTCTGTTATACATAAGGGCACCATGAGTCAGAGCCACCTTGGCAGTGACTAACAACAACAACAACATAGTCACCATTTGGGAATTTTCTGTTCTGAGTAAGAACTGTCCTTGATCTTCCTTGTCTCTCTCCTGCCCTTCCTCATTTAGTTTCTCTTCCACTTACTTTACATTGTACTGATGTTATTTGTGGATTTGCCTTTGGCCACTACCCAGAACTGAAAATCTATTACATAAGTTTCTTATTTGAAGCCATAAACCTTTCTGAGACCATGATGTTAAACGTGAACTATCCCCCCAAAAAAATGTACATATCTACAAACAGTTTTGCGTATAAGCTCAGGGAGTTTGTGGACTCCAGGTTAAAGACCTTAGTTCTAGATTGTTTCTTGAAATCAAGTCCTAAGTTTCATTGGCCTTTGTGTCTGTGGCACAGCCTACCATATATATTGGAGATTCTCAGTAAATCATTTCTGAATTGAGGAATTGAAATGCAAAATGAGAAAATTAAATTCTCTTACTATAGAATCTCTCTAAACACACTTTTTTAAATTTTGTTTCCTTAGGCTTCCACCTGAGTGGCACAGTAACGGAGCCGGCCACTGCTTCTGAACCAGCAATGACTTACAAAGTTGCAATCAGTTTTGATCGATGCAAAATCACTTCAGTGACATGTGGCTGTGGGAACAAGGACATATTCTACTGTGCTCATGTGGTGGCACTCTCACTCCACAGGATCCGTAAACCAGACCAAGTCAAATTGCGTCTTCCTATCTCAGAAACTCTTTTTCAGATGAATAGGGATCAGCTACAAAAGTTTATTCAATATTTAATCACAGCACACCACACTGAAGTTCTTCCTACTGCACAGAAACTGGCAGATGAGATTCTATCCTCCAACTCAGAAATCAACCAAGTGCATGGTAATTTTTCAACATTTTAGTGCAAAAAATCTGCTTTTTTGCTATGTTTATATTGCATATTTAGAAATTGGGGTGTTTTTGTAATTATATTCACTTACAGTTACTCAATTTCTTCTATTCATACAAGTATGTATTTAACTGGTAAGTTCTTGAAGTAATCTAAGAATCTACCTTATGAAAGTTATATATTATTAGTTTATGGACTTTATTCCATAATCCCTGTCCCCAGGAGTCCAAAATATTTAAGAGTAAAAGAAAGCACAAAATAACTTGTACCATTCAGTGAAATGAAATGGATATGAGAATTCTTTAGACATTTTAGAATCCTACATGCCTTCAGGGTTATTCTGAAGAGCATCTGTTAGCATTGTACTTATTATGAGCTATATATGATGGAGGTGCATGGATGGAAAAAGAGATCATACGCACTTACTCATTCACAAGTGTTTTTTGAGAACCTACTATGTGCAAAGAACTATGCTGGTTGTTGAGGGGATAAAACAGACATGTTCCTGCTTCTGAGTAGTATATAATCAGGTAGAAAAGACAAGTCTGAAATAAATGTTTCCTTTTATAGTTAAGCCAGATTATAGAGACTTAATCATAGAAAACCATTGAAGGATTTTAAAAAGAGGAATTAAATGAGTCAGTTTTAAAATTTTGTTTGTTATGGCCTACTATGTACCAGGCATCATGTGAAGGACTTTATATATGTTAATTCATTTAGTCATCAAACTTACCCTGTAAAGTAGGTGTTACAATTATTTCCATTTTATCAATAAGGGAATTATTTATAACCCAGGCTCATCTGATGTCAGAAATCTTGCTTTTTATGTTTCTCTATATTATCTCTCTATTAAGATAAATTTTATTTTAGGAGAATAACTTTTGCTACATCTATATTTTAAGAAGAACTTTGGTGAAAGATGCAGTGAGACCACTTGAGTGGCCTGTATGTTACAATAGTCCCATGTGTCAAAGGCCTTCTTTTTCCTAGTTATCCAACAAAGCCAATCAAGACCTGCAAACAACATCTCCACTTCTCAGAAACAATATTCACAGACAGGCTTCCAAAAGCTCTTGCTAACCAGTATAAATAATCTTCTATTGTTTTATACTCATAGTTGTAGTTTACATGGTAACTAGACTCTTAATATTTGGGTAATATGGTCAAAGAATAGCTCTCTTTATCTCTTCTTAGCCTAAATGGGGAGGTTGTTCTACTTCTCTGGCTTGTTTAAGTAAAGCTCTTGGGGACCTGAGTTCTGTCCCATTCCCCAAGTCTATAGTACCACCAGGAAAAAGTATACTCCAAAAACTGGGCTATGACCTATTTCCTCATTCCCTTTCATAAAATTTCCTACCTCTTTCCCTTTCATAGAATTGTTGCCCATTTCAAGGAGCCCTAGTGGTACAGTGGTTAAAGTGTTTGGCTGCTAACCAAAAGGTCAGTGGTTCAAAACCACCAGCTGCTCTGCAGCAGAAAGATGTGACAGTCTGCTTCCATAAAGTTTTATAGACTTGGAAACTCTGTGAGGCAGTTCTACTCTGTCCCACAGGGTCACTACGAGTCAGAATCAACTCAATGGCAGTGGGTTTGATTGCCTATTTTCAAGCTGTCTTGCCTTTCCTTGGACTGACCACCCTGATACAGGACCTGCATTGTACCTGTCATTTTCACCAACACTATCACTGAAGCTACCTACTTAATCTTTATGCCACTACCGTGCTGAAGCAACCTTCATCCCTTGTTATACCTTCCATCACAGTATCTTGTTACTTGTCTGATATCAGCCCCAGGGTTACAGGTGAGTAGAGACAACTCAGGGACGCCCAAAGTAGCAGGCCAGAAGAGCAGGAGAAAGGGGATAAAAGCCAGGAACCCGGACAGAGGATCAGTCAGCCCCAGGGACAACTCAGGGACGCCCAAAGCAGCAGGCCAGAAGAGCAGGAGAAAGGGGATTAAAAGCCAGGAAGCCAGACAGAGGTACAGTCAGCCACAGGGATCCAGGTTGGTGTGATACGAGAGGTCTACAACAGCAAGACAAACTTGTCTGTCGGTTTGTCCTA